TATTAGTATATGTGTGCCCTTAGGATCAATGGTTTTGATTTAAGAACTGGTATGACTGAAGTTTGCTAGAGCCTTTGGGTCCATTTTAATAAAATCCAGAATTATCAGATTCCTCCTCAAAGGAAGAGGATTTAGGCTATACAGAGACTATAGTTACTTCAGAACTGAAATTGCAATTAAAACTGCAGCAGTTTAATCAAATAGGGAGAGAAATACTCTGATTACTCTAAGATATAAGAACTCACAAAGATGGCTCAAGGCAGATAAAGCAAGATCAATAACTTTGATCATCACCACTGTCCCAGTCCATTAGGTGACTACTGTTTTCTCATTAAAATCCCTCCTTAGGGTTTTAAAAATTCTATGAAGAATCTTATTCCTCCATTAAAGTGATAGAAACAAAATAAACAAACAACAAAATCACCTAGTGCTGCTCAAGTTGGTGGTAATTACCTCATTTTAATTATATCTTTACACCTGGACATAAAGACACTTGAAACACTTTGAACATAAGCTCTGCATTTTCTGATGGAAACTACACAGACAGTAATCTGCTAACTGGTGGAAAGAGTCATGAATTCTGTTGATTTAAACCCTTTACCACATTGTACCTTATAAAAGCCATTGTATTTTAGCTTTGTTATCATTGTCTTTAATTCACTGATAGCAAGTAGAAGAATAAAGTATTTCTAAATAGGATTGAATAATATTAAAAGGTGGAGCTCCAAGTTGTTTTCTTACATTTCTAAATAATACTATATCTTATAGCAAATGGGAAAGACAGAAGGAAGGAAGAAAGAAACAAAGGAGGGAGATAGAACAGGAGGGAGGGAAGGAAGGAAGGAAATCTCAAAAAGGAATAAGATCTACTCTGCCTGGGTTTTAATAGTCTCTGAAATTTAAGATTCTTTCTATTTCTTTTTTGTACTCAATCATTTACTCATAAGGCAAAGAATTCCTTTACAGTCATCTTAAATAAGAAAAAAAAAATTCCTATAAAGGACATCATGTATTGCACTGACAGTTCTTTCCTTCTAAAATTGTGCTTCCTGTCTGATTTCTGGAAAAGCTTCTCTTAGCACTAAAAATGATGGACAACGACACAGTGCTTTATCTGGAGATGGTACAACTGAGGGTAATGAAGTTCTGGTGCTCATTTTACACATTAGTTTCCAAATTTTAATGAAACAATGATCTATTCCCTTTATTTCCTCTTTTTAAATTTGATTGTAAAATATTTGTTTCTTTATCTTTGAGTAAAAAAGAAAGTAAAAAAAAAATCAATCAGTAATCTGGATGATTTCCATCATCTCACAGATAAGTAACTGTGAAGATTAAAACATCCGGGTGAATAACAATGATTTAGCATTTATCCAGATTTATGGATCAAATAGATACAACCTCCCTCTCTGAACTTAGCAAGACCAATTTCCTCCATGAGAGTATGAAATGTTTATATTGTCATAAACCAAAGCAAGAGCTTAATGCTTCAGTGGTGCTGAACAGAAACAATTCTTTATTAAAATGTTCCTAAGAGGAAGTGGGGAGTGCTGATTTGTTCTCGGATTTTCCACAGATTAAATTTTAGTTCTCAATTTAGAATCTTAGATATTATTTAAATAAGATATCAAAGAGTGTTAATATTAATGTAGCAAAAGAGGATGCTGGTCACTAAAAATCTGTTGTTGCTAATACAGATTACACTCAGATTACAAAATCAGTATGGTAATACAAATGGATTGCCTGCAGAATACCTTCTTGCAACCCAAGTCACAGAAGCCAATCAATTTTTATTCATACATTTTAGTTACTTAACATATCCCTTACTAATTTCAAATTATACATCACAGTTTCTAAACAGCTCATTTGTGCACAATTATTAATGTAATCAGACAGCAAATTCATAAGTTATTCTCAAATATATGGAAGGTTCATAAAAGTATGCAAGCGTATAAAAATATCAATTTCTAAGTCAATAACAAGAACGAGGAACCTTCCAGAAAATGTGAAATTTGAAATTTAAAAAAGTATTCTTTGTTAAAAGCTTAACCCTCCCTTAAACATTTTCAGTTGCAAACTAGCATACCTCTTGGGGATTGAATCATCATCTATTTGATAGTTAAACCATTAGGAAATTTAGAAATGTGCTATAAATATCTGGGTTTTTTTCCTTTTTCTAAGAGTTAATAATAATCCATAAAGTACTTGCCCTTTTCCCCTGGTGATTTAACATTAATCTGATATCATCTTAAGAAAGAATAACAATAGCAAATACTAAACTTCAGCATCACTTTACAATCACCACAGCATACAACTTTGAAAATGAAAAAATTGATTTCTTCAATGCAAATAAATAAAAATTTTAACTAGATTTTCTGTTAGTAGCTGACATCTGCATCACCTAGGATGAAACTATTTTATAAGATAGAAAACTACAAGCTAGCTACCTACCTACCTAGCCAGATGTATGTATTTGTGTAGTTTAATTGGACAAAATACTAAAATGCCATAAAATCAAATGGGGGTGGGGTGGAAAGAATCAGTCATTCTATTAGTAGAAATTCACTATGTTTTCCACAGTAATGAGTACCCATTCCAACCTGATTACTGTGACAGCACACTGACATAATGTGGTTATTAATTTCCTCTGAACAATACATTAAAAGAAAAATTGCAAATTCACATGAAGCTCAGTATACACCAGGGACCTCACGTGCTTACTTCACACAGGCTTCAGTGAGCTTTTTTGTAAGCTTGAGTGCACTAACTACATATACCACAGGCCATTATGCACAAAGATAACTACAAGAAAAAGTAGAATAATCATAATTTTATTTATAAATGTGTTGGTTTCCTTCAACAAGCTTTAGCATAAACACCTTTAAAGGGGAAAAACAAAACTCTTCTGCAAGCATTTGTGTAAGGTCACTTGTGAGGGAAGCAACCTCATTTTGACCACGTAAAGAAGACCATCTTAAAGGTGACAAGATATTTTCCAGTTTAAACTCAGGAAAATAACTGTTAAAACTTTTCTAGCTAATAGGGGATTCTCTAGCTCTTAAGCCTGTTTGTGACACCAATTGTCTAGCTCTTAATCCTGTTCGTGACGCCAATTGTAAAGCTACACGATCACGCTAGTTGTCGGGGCTCTTTTACCTGCCGATAATCCTGCACTGACTGGGCCGATGGTTGAGCTAGGGCTGGGTCTGGAGCTCCCAGACCCCTCAAGCCCATTGTCCAGACTGGGTCACAAACACTTCATATGCCAAGCTGGGTCACCAGACCCCTCCACACCAGGCTGGGTCACCAGACCCCTCCACACCAGGCTGGGTCACCAGACCCCTTCACACAGGTCTATAAACTTGGTCTATAAACACAGGTCTATAAACCAGCCACACGGTCCCTGGAAGCTGCAGGTCTGGAAAAACATGGCCACCCAGGGCAGTCACCCATGGCAGTAAAACACCATCCGAAGTGGCGCTGCCTTGCAGGCGCACTTACTCCACCCCCCCACACAATGTTTCCAAACCACCCTGAACCGGCTCTGAGGCAGGGGAGCCTGACCAAACTGTTCCATTTTCCCAACAGGGATACATCAATAATATATTGCAGAGGCAATAATTCTTTACTTGTTTTTATGTATTTCTACACATAGCATTGATCTTTCTCCAAATTCAGTCTTAGCTTCTGTATTTCCTAAATAGTTACAAATCTAAATTTAGATAAGTATTTTCCCCTTAGTAAATAAAATTAGAAAGAATAGAAACCTCCACTCTGATTTTTATCTTATGTAAGGAATGTGTGTCTTCTGTTCTGATTATTCATTTTATATTCCATTTTCCAAAGGATATAGAAAATCACTTTTTCCAAAGAGCAATACTCAAAGAGGTAATATAAAAAGTATAATTTCTAAGAATGTTCTAAAATATCAAACACTAAACTTCAATTTTAGTCACTTGATTTTCCATAAAAAAAATTTTTTAAATAATTTTTAAAATTAGGTCTAATTTTGGCAAAGAAACTTTATTAATTTTTTAATTCAAATTGGATACTATGACCCACGTGCTGAGAAGGTGGAATTACTGAAAACACTAATAAAAAAGGGTTAGTCCTATTCACTGAACTCAGTGGGACTGAACTGAAATATATACATATGAAAGTTATAAGTCTCTCATAGCTGGTAGCTACTTTTATTGGTTCAAAAGAAAAAATTCCTATACTCAGTGAGGAAGAAAACGGATTCCAGACAATCTACCCTCTCTCACGTATACACACCATCATCCCTCCAGGAAGAAGTAGAAAGGTTTTTATTTTTTCCTGTTTGTTCCAAAGCTTAGACTCTAACCACTTAATATGAGAATTTGTTTCCCAATGATCACTTAGTGGGAGGAAAATAGTGAATATATAAAATGAGTAAATAAAGAAGTTACATACATAAAGACCATTATTTTGAGAAAAATAAATTTTTCTGCCTTGAATGATAGGCAGAAGAGATTAGATTTTATAGAATACAAGATTCCCCAGAGAATTCTATGAGAGGACCAGGGCTTTAAAAAAGTGCTCTGGGAGAAATGTGAAGGGTACATAAGAAATCAGAGAAAACAGAGGTTAGTGATGAGGATATTTTAAACCAAGGCAGGTGATAATGCTGCTGCCACAGCTCAAAGACACTGGAAGTACTGAATGTGGGTGAATCTGACAGACATTTCAAAGGAAAATCTGAGATATAGTAATTTACTGAATATAGGAAACAAAGAAGAGAAGATCAAGAGGTCTTTAGTGCTTTGTACCTAGGGACCAAGAAAATGGTGGAATCAGTGTCACTTATTAAGGACATCATTAACAATAGTCCAATCAAAGAATTGTGTAATTTCTACTGAAACCAGAACCACCTGAATCCTGAGTTTGTGCCGGCTGGTCATAGCTCAGGATTTCCTCCAGTCCTTACAGCTTTTTGAGCATTTCTGCAATATTTATGTGCATGGTTGGAAAATGCTCACCAGTTTGCCACCAATGATCTAGGACGGGTACTTTGAAGACCTTTTTGGACCATTCCAGTGTTTCCACATCACATCGTTCTCCAGCTACAAATAATGTTTTGAACCTGCATATAAGAGAGACATTGAATTCAAATTATTCCTTGAAAATAAATCTAAATAATTTCATTTACTTTTTTAAACGTTGTAGAATGTAACCACATCAATTATGTTGAAGGAAAAGAGCCTTATTTCCAGTAGATCATACTGCGAAATGGTGAGAAACACTGTTTTGGCCCAAATGTTCCAGATGCACATTATAGCTTTGGACTGAGGTGCTTCTTAAATAGGATCCATAGCTACAGCTTCTCAGTTTTGAAAAGAGCAATTGAGTGATCTCTGTAATACGAGTACATCTGTCATATGCATCTAATGATCAAAGATGAAAAACCTTTTCCCCCTTGACATTATCCTTGCTAATTTTAGCTCCAAGTTTGATTGCTTTATTTTACTAAAGGATATACACAAAAATACACTCACACGTATAAGCTAAGGCAACAATATGCTCATAAATATAATGTACTTATCCCTTTTGTGAGTTCCTCTGGTAAAGATTACTCTGATTTACTGCATGTATTTCCCGAATTTCAAGGACATAGCTAGGAAAGATAACTGACGAAAAAGTAAATGTCATGTGGCCTTGTAGGTCAGAAAAGTTTTTATCAATAGGAATACAAGGTTACTAAGAGATGAATGAGAACTAGCAACTTTTGCAGGGAGCATTATGCCACAGAATAAAAAGAATGAGATAGAAAAATAGCATTGGTTTGACCTGATTAGTGGTTTTTTGAGAGAGAGGATATTTTTATTCAATTTTCAGTGCCATGATGGCTTGCTGTCAAAAAAAGAATATGTGTATAAAGAGTTAATTTATTATCACCAAAGTAAAAAAAACAAAAATCAACAACCTGCCTACGCATCAATGTAAACTGCCACAGAAGGTACCTTATTATTCCCTTAATTTATTTTTTCATTACATGTAGATTTACAGAGATTCAAATATTCCCATCTCTATGCTCCAAGGACATTCTACTTCTCTCTTTGCTATAAACATGTATCTCACTATATAATTATTTGTTTCTCATCTATTTCTCACACTGAACTATGTGCTTCTTAAAAACATTCATCTTTTTATCCCCATACCAACAAAAATAAGTGGGATTTTTTTTATATAAGTTTCTAGATGCTCAGAATGATGAAGTACAGAGGTACTTATTCCAGTTTGACTCATTCTTCCAAGTAAAACAAGAGGCATGTTGGTTTCCAAGAGTTTAAAATTGACAAAGAAACAGTGATGAGAAGAGAAACATTCTGGAATGGCTATGAAAGCAAAGTACATATCATAAAAGTAAAAGTAGTTAAGAACAGCCAGTTGGACTCAATCAGTAGCCTGGGAGGCTATGCTGGGATAGCTACAAATTGTGTGTGATACAGAAAAGAAAAGATGACAAATCAATGCTGGAAATGCTGTCTAGGGACTCAGACTAAACAATAAGCAATAGTCGTGTGGAGAAAAGTAGGAATAACCAGACTGAAGAGAACTACCAGGAAAAAGAATGTTGTAAGAGACTAGAAGTCACAGAAAAAATTTTAAAGAAGGTGAAAACAAAGGCAGAGTCAGAAAAATAGTGTATAGTTGTGAGAAAGGGCATTTTAAAAAAATTGATTATGCATATTATTGGGGTCAGGCTGACCATTACCACCTGTGCCCAAGATGAGATGATCAGATCAATACTATAAGCATGCTTCTCACCACAAATTTCAGTAATCCCCGGTGCCCTACACCCAACCTCTCCCTGACCTACCTCTCCCTCCCCCCTGCCCCACCCTGCAACCCTAGGGTTGTGCTCTGCAAGTCCCACACGCCACTGTGGTCTTTCTTTCCTTCCTTCTTTCTCTCTTAGCTCCTCCTTGAGTGAGGACATGCAAGAGAGGGCAAATCTAAACTTAAGTATCTTGAAAATGTGTCTGTTCTGAGGGTTGACAGTGTTTGCAGTAACTAAGAGACTCTAACATTGAAGACGCTGGAGGATATAAGCATGTGTTTATAGAAAGATCATCATCAAGATATTAACAATCTCTCAATGACCATAGCAGTGGAGAATAGAGAGGAAGTCCATGATTTATTGGCTAAAGTCGCTGAGAGGAACTCTGAAGATGGGGAGAAGGTGTTACAAATGGATAGCATGAACTTCAGTAGAAGACAGGCTATTAAACGAATTATCAAGTTCTCATGTTACCAACTTTACTTTAATATCCTCTATAATTTTTATAGATAATCTTGGCCCAAAGATGCATTCGGACTCAATTATGGAAAAAAGGTGAGAGTTTAACTATTCTACATAAAATCCTGGTAGCAGACAAGCTATTGA